CTGTTTTTCAGCAGCATGCAGTGTGGGATTTGACTGCTTGATTCATAGATTAAATAGACCATTGGATCGCTTATACAGACTGTATTTTGACTGTTGTGTGTTTCTTCTCAGTCTGGAGATGCTGGATAAGGTGGAGCCGCCCTCCATCCCTGAAGGTTACGCCATGTCTGTGGCGTTCAGCGCCCTGCTGGATCTGGTGAGAGGAATCACCTCCATGATCGAGAGAGGACTCAACAAACAGGAACAGGAAGCCGCCATGAGGGAGGAGGCGGAGCCTGTTAGTCCCCCGCGGAGTGACCGCCTCCCTCAGGATCCCAGTGAGTTCATGCCGACGTCACATTGGTTTGTTTGTGTGCGCTCGAAGACAGCGCTCTGACATTATCATCACTCCAGATGTCTTTGAATCTCTCAGCCTGAAGTATTTTTAATACTCTATGCTGACCTCTGGCTGTGACACAGGAACACAACAATATACTGCCAAACCAGTGTGTTGTAACGTTATATAACGTGGTGTTATATATATAATATGCAATATATAGTAAGTGTTACACTTTGCAATAAAGTTCCATTTGTTAGCATTAGTTAACATGAACTAACAATGAAGTTGTATCAGTTAATATTTATTTTAACATTTCATAATGCATTATTAAAATCCAAATGTATGTGTAATGATTAATTATTGGACCTGAGCTAACACTCATTAACTAACACTAACCAACAATGATCAATACATTTACAAGTGTTAGTTAATGCATTATTTAACGTAAACTAATGGACCTTTTTGTAAAGTGTTGCCTGTTTAACAAATGCAATGCAAGTGAAAAAAATACATTCTGTGGTAATATAACATAATTCATAATGTTAACAGAAAATACAATACATTTTACAAATAAATCTAATCATACATATAAACAAAAAATGTAATACATTTTACAAATAAATCTAGACTAATATAATATAATATATAAACAGAAAATACAATACATTTTACAAGAAATTCTAGTCTAATATATAAATGGAAAATATAATATAATATAATATATAAATGGAAAATACAATAAATTTAACAAAAAACACCTAATCTAATATATAAACAAAATAATA